CCAAAAAAAAAGATTTTGAAGACGTAAACGATAGAATTCAACCTAAAATTAAAGGAATTCATGACAAAATAATGAGACTTGATCGTTAACTAGATTAAGATCAAATGACACTAGTCTTTCCACTCCGACTAATCTGTCGCCACTTGTTTTGTACCATAAAGTGATCATCTCATTATTTCTATGAAGTTCATTTCTGACCAATAAAGTCTGATTTTAATTTTTAAAATCTTGGGGATAGAAATGTGAATTGAGTCCAAACCTTGGGGGTGGTGTCTGCAGTTTCAACCTAAAATACATTGTCCAAAGAAGGGAGAAGTTGAAGTCTATAAATTAAAGAGAATTGAACTTCAACAATGGACATGGTTTCCAATATCTTCCCCTATCCCACCAAATTATATTCATTCATCTATGTAAAATAAATTCCTATCAACAGGTCGAATTTGGATCGGATGTTTGACTGATTTGAATCTGATCCAATAATTTAATTAATTTTATTTTCATACTCAATATCTGATCCGATCATATCAAATATATACATACATATCTAAATCTATAAAATATAAAATATTGAATTTAAATTATCCGTAAAAATATCAAATCATATTCAACGAATCGAATTCAAATTAAAATTCAATCTATTAACAAGCCTACTATCACTTAATTTTGGATGTACATTGTCAACCCCTTACATTCATTACCATTGAGAATTGTCATTTGTATTGAAAACTATTCAATCTCGATGTACATTGTCAACCCTTTGCATTCATTACCATTGAGAATTGTCATTCGTATCGAATACTATTCAATCTTGTCTGCCAGCCAAACCAACAAATTACTCAATACTTCTTTACAACCTAAAAAAACAACCCAGATCAAATGCTTTCAATATTAGGTGAATTTCTATAATAAAATTAAATTATACATATTTGATACTATTTAAACTTATTTATTGTCCGTTATGAACAAGCCAAACAGACGATCATATTATTTTTAAATTCATTCGTGTTCATAATCAATGACAATTCCATTTTGTCATTATTATTATTATTTTTTTTCCATTTTAAACACACAAAAAAAGTCAACAAAACACCACCAAAACCAACCCAAAAAAAACAAAAGCATTACAGAAAGAATGCTATTGTGCCCTGGATGTCACCTTGTACCATAATTTATGCAAACCCCTTAACCACTATAGCTTAAGTAAGTATATAAGATAATTTAATTTCCAACATCAACAACATTGCCATTAAAGCCAGAAAATAAAATATAGATTCTCTCTCTCTCTCTCTCTCTCTCTCTCTCACACACACACACACACACGCACAAAAGTTTTTCACTTTATTTACTGAAAGCTCGAACCTGGTGTGTAAATAGCAAGATCAGGCCACCCATTGCCACCATTCCAACAGCTAGAGTCACCACCACCACTTTGAACATTCAAAAATGTGTCTGAATTGTTGCCACTCTGCAACTCCACTGGTGGGTCAACATTCCGGACCACATTCAACCCAGAACCCGAATTCACATTCTCTGCAAACTCACCCAATTGCACAGTCGACCCATTTGGATTCAAACCCTCCATTAAAAAATTCCCAAACTGCCCATTTGAAGCCAAAAGTGAGCTGAAACTCCCACCCATACCAAGCATCCTACGGTCACGATCAATTGATGAAACAGAGAGACCATAGGGCTCTGGTTTTGGAAGTTCTTGAGAGGTCAAAGATGGTGTAGATGAGGTTGAAGATGAAGAGGAAGTTGCTGAAGAGCGTTTTGGGTTTGAAGAGCGTTTTGTGTTCTTGCGACTACCACCGCCGACTGGGATGTTCCGAAGTGCACCACCTTTGGTCCAGTACCTTTTACAGTTCTTGCAGAAGTGGCGAGGCTGAGAGAGGTTGTAGTTGTTGTAGTAGCAGAATTTTGTGTTTGTTGATTCACATCTCGGACATTTTAGGTGCTCTTGTTCTGGGAATTGAGGTTTGATCTGGGAATACGTTGTTGGGTCTTGCATATTTCACACCAAATTGATTCAAACGTCCAAGGGAAAAACCAAGTTGATTCAAACTTCTAAGGGGACAACAGAAGAAAAATTGGGTTGAAGTATGATGTTTTGGGTGTTTTAGTGATGTGCGTTGTTGTTAGAATGGGGAGCTTTTGAGAGATTTGAGGAGAGATGTATCGGGAATGTGAAGATCTGAGCTGGGTTTTTTGGGATTTGATGAGGATATTAACCTTTGAAACTGTGAAGCGGCGATAAAGCAACAAAACAAGCAAGAAAGAAGACAAAAAGGTCAAGACATTTTTTAACACCAGAAATGGAATTGAACACACAAATTAAAGAAAATCGAAGCTTCAACCCAAAAGATATCTAAATTTCAAACATTTAAACTTGAATTTTCATGAAAGGAGTGGATAGATAGCTCAAACTTCTGGTGGGTTTTTGTCACCATGGATGAAAATCCAAGAAACAGATGGAGATAGAAACAGAGAGAGCGAGAGAGGGAGTTAGAGAAGAGAAGAGATGTTTGGTTTTGAACTCCTCTTACAGATGATCTCAGTCAGTCCGCGTTAAATTGACGGCCACATTTCACATGTAGAGAGCTAAGATCTCTATNATTTTTTTATTTTTTATTTATATTAAAATTTTATGGATAAATGTGTGTATATATATACATACATTATGATACTTTTAAGACACTTATAATTTCCATTTATTTTTAATTTAATATTAACATTTTTACGTTCTCGCTCCCGCTCCTGCCCACAATTTTGATTTCCCTCTATTGCTCAACAATGACAAACACAAACATCATCACTTCTCTCCCTTTAGGGGTAAATTGCATTTTTACTTTGTTGACCACATCAACTGTGTATTGCGTTTGAGTCCAACTATGTGTTCTTTTGTCAGCCACCCCCACCAAATGTGGCTATCCCTTTATCACCCTAAATTACTGCCGTGCAAGACTGGATGATTGTCAAAAACTCAGGAGCATCAGAGCCACATTTGGTGGGAGAGATAGAGACAGAGACACAGACACAGACACAGTCAGACGGAGAGAGATTCGGTGTTTGACAAAAAAAATTATTACATAATTTAAATGAAATTTAAAAATTTAAATTTAAATACATATCATTCTTTAAATGACACTAATGAGTGTCAGATGAATAAATTTTATTTCATTAAAAAAGTTAATAAGACCTATTCATCTAAATAATGATATATATATATATTTAGGTTATAATTTTTTAAATTTTATAACATTGCTCGTTTGACAAATGGGTTTGGTTTGGTTGGATTTACATGTGGGCTAGGATTTTACTTGTTTTTGATCAAATGGTAAAGTAAGACAACGGTGGTGAATGAAAAACACAAAAACAACTTTAAATCCACATAGAAAATAAGAGAAATACTCTGAAAAGTTATATTATTTAATAAAGAACTCGTAATACATCAGGAAAAAACCCTAATTATTCCTGAGAAAGAAGAAAAACCCTAAATATATAGAATTCACAAAAATTTAAAAATTATAACCTAACTAATGAACATAAAAACCCGTATTATCTAAAGTTTAACAAAGANATTATCCTGAAACATGTGATGATTAATGTTGGGTGAAAAATACCTCTCATAAAATCAAATTAACTCCTCAAACTTATTTAATAAATGATAAAATGTCTTTACATGCAAATCTTGATAATTTTTTAAAATTAAGTCATTAAAAATATTATAGTCTCAGCGTAGATGGTCTGTCTTTGATCGAATTAAAGAAAAAATTAGTCGACATATGCATAGGTTAGTTTAAACACTCTTGACCATTAAACTGAAAAAAAAATAATGAAACTATTAAATTATATTTTGGGTTTAACATGCCTCCCACAACTATTCATTTTCTTNAGTCTGATTTTAATTTTTAAAATCTTGGGGATAGAAATGTGAATTGAGTCCAAACCTTGGGGGTGGTGTCTGCAGTTTCAACCTAAAATACATTATCCAAAGAAGGGAGAAGTTGAAGTCTATAAATTAAAGAGAATTGAACTTCAACAACGGACATGGGGTTTCCAATATCTTCCCCTATCCCACCAAATTATATTCATTCATCTATGTAAAATAAATTCCTATCAACAGGTCGAATTTGGATCAGATGTTTGACTGATTTGAATCTGATCCAATAATTTAATTAATTTTATTTTCATACTCAATATCTGATCCGATCATATCTAAATCTATAAAATATAAAATATTGAATTTAAATTATCCGTAAAAATATCAAATCATTTCAACGAATCGAATTCAAATTAAAATTCAAGCCTACTATCAACCAATCTGGATGTACATTGTCAACCCCTTACATTCATTACCATTGAGAATTGTCATTTGTATTGAAAACTATTCAATCTCGATGTACATTGTCAACCCTTTGCATTCATTACCATTGAGAATTGTCATTCGTATCGAATACTATTCAATCTTGTCTGCCAGCCAAACCAACAAATTACTCAATACTTCTTTACAACCTAAAAAAACAACCCAGATCAAATGCTTTCAATATTAGGTGAATTTCTATAATAAAATTAAATTATACATATTTGATACTATTTAAACTTATTTATTGTCCGTTATGAACAAGCCAAACAGACGATCATATTATTTTTAAATTCATTCGTGTTCATAATCAATGACAATTCCATTTTGTCATTATTATTATTATTTTTTTTCCATTTTAAACACACAAAAAAAGTCAACAAAACACCACCAAAACCAACCCAAAAAAAACAAAAGCATTACAGAAAGAATGCTATTGTGCCCTGGATGTCACCTTGTACCATAATTTATGCAAACCCCTTAACCACTATAGCTTAAGTAAGTATATAAGATAATTTAATTTCCAACATCAACAACATTGCCATTAAAGCCAGAAAATAAAATATAGATTCTCTCTCTCTCTCTCTCTCTCTCTCTCTCACACACACACACACACACGCACAAAAGTTTTTCACTTTATTTACTGAAAGCTCGAACCTGGTGTGTAAATAGCAAGATCAGGCCACCCATTGCCACCATTCCAACAGCTAGAGTCACCACCACCACTTTGAACATTCAAAAATGTGTCTGAATTGTTGCCACTCTGCAACTCCACTGGTGGGTCAACATTCCGGACCACATTCAACCCAGAACCCGAATTCACATTCTCTGCAAACTCACCCAATTGCACAGTCGACCCATTTGGATTCAAACCCTCCATTAAAAAATTCCCAAACTGCCCATTTGAAGCCAAAAGTGAGCTGAAACTCCCACCCATACCAAGCATCCTACGGTCACGATCAATTGATGAAACAGAGAGACCATAGGGCTCTGGTTTTGGAAGTTCTTGAGAGGTCAAAGATGGTGTAGATGAGGTTGAAGATGAAGAGGAAGTTGCTGAAGAGCGTTTTGGGTTTGAAGAGCGTTTTGTGTTCTTGCGACTACCACCGCCGACTGGGATGTTCCGAAGTGCACCACCTTTGGTCCAGTACCTTTTACAGTTCTTGCAGAAGTGGCGAGGCTGAGAGAGGTTGTAGTTGTTGTAGTAGCAGAATTTTGTGTTTGTTGATTCACATCTCGGACATTTTAGGTGCTCTTGTTCTGGGAATTGAGGTTTGATCTGGGAATACGTTGTTGGGTCTTGCATATTTCACACCAAATTGATTCAAACGTCCAAGGGAAAAACCAAGTTGATTCAAACTTCTAAGGGGACAACAGAAGAAAAATTGGGTTGAAGTATGATGTTTTGGGTGTTTTAGTGATGTGCGTTGTTGTTAGAATGGGGAGCTTTTGAGAGATTTGAGGAGAGATGTATCGGGAATGTGAAGATCTGAGCTGGGTTTTTTGGGATTTGATGAGGATATTAACCTTTGAAACTGTGAAGCGGCGATAAAGCAACAAAACAAGCAAGAAAGAAGACAAAAAGGTCAAGACATTTTTTAACACCAGAAATGGAATTGAACACACAAATTAAAGAAAATCGAAGCTTCAACCCAAAAGATATCTAAATTTCAAACATTTAAACTTGAATTTTCATGAAAGGAGTGGATAGATAGCTCAAACTTCTGGTGGGTTTTTGTCACCATGGATGAAAATCCAAGAAACAGATGGAGATAGAAACAGAGAGAGCGAGAGAGGGAGTTAGAGAAGAGAAGAGATGTTTGGTTTTGAACTCCTCTTACAGATGATCTCAGTCAGTCCGCGTTAAATTGACGGCCACATTTCACATGTAGAGAGCTAAGATCTCTATATATATATCTCTATAAAAGGAGAGAGAGTGTGTGAGCGCAGTCTCTCTCAAGTTGGAATTTTTGATTGGCTGAACAAAGCTTGGTACAGTGAGTCTGGACAGTTCTTCTACGACTTCCACTAAACCTATAGTTAATCAAAAAGTATTCTGTTTTAACTTCCACTAAACCTTAATATTTAATTGAAAAGTGCTCTGCTTTTACTTTAAAATAATACTAAGAAATACCAATGAATTCTTTCTTGTTCTTTCTCGGTTGCTCTACGAAGCATTGTAATAAACATTATTCAAGTCAAACAAACAATCAGAACAATGTCAACTGCTGTCATCAAATCTTCTCATTATCCTGAAACATGTGATGATTAATGTTGGGTGAAAAATACCTCTCATAAAATCAAATTAACTCCTCAAACTTATTTAATAAATGATAAAATGTCTTTACATGCAAATCTTGATAATTTTTTAAAATTAAGTCATTAAAAATATTATAGTCTCAGCGTAGATGGTCTGTCTTTGATCGAATTAAAGAAAAAATTAGTCGACATATGCATAGGTTAGTTTAAACACTCTTGACCATTAAACTGAAAAAAAAATAATGAAACTATTAAATTATATTTTGGGTTTAACATGCCTCCCACAACTATTCATTTTCTCCATTCAATCCTTAAACTATGTCAAGTGTAATAGCACATCAAACACCCATGTGGATATTAGAGTTTTGAGATTTTCTATTTGTCCCTTAAATTTGTGTCAAAAAAGATACAAATTCTATTTTTTTTTTTATTTGTTCTATCAAAAAATTGGACAATATGGAGTTTATTTTCGTGTTGTATACATTTTAAAAACTAAATTGACATAATTTATTAATCTAAAAGATCAACTGACATGATTCAACAAAATTATTATAACTGCAATTTTTGAACTTCGTCATTGAGAGAATATCACTTTATACATCATTAAATTAGTAAATTAAATTAAAATTTTGAGTTTAATAAATATTATCATCTTAAAATTGAGAATACCATGATTTATGATTTTTAATATTCACTCTTTATAAAGTAGGCCAATAATGAATTGAGTCAATTTTAATATTTACGTATCAGATATGAGATTACTCATTAGACTCATAATATTTTGTATTAAAATTGAATTGATATGTCATTATTAACAAATAAAACATATGATTGTATAAATTTTAATACAATACAGGTTAAAATAAGACCTATTGTCGATAGCCATGCAACTGATCGGGTTTGAATTGGATTTTGACTAATCCAAACTCGATCCTATAGTTTGACGAATTTTATTTTCGTAGTTCATATTTGAATTTGTTAATAATCTAAAAATTCAATCTCAAATTCTATCCGGTCTGAATAGTTTAATTTAACTAAATTTCTTCAATATTTATACAAATACATATAAAAAATATTTCGGATCAAATCATAATTGAATTGGATGTAGATATATTTAAATTCAAATTTGTAAAATATAAGATATCAGATTTAGATAATCGATAAAAAAAATATTAATTGATATCCAACTAATCAAAGTCGGATCAAAACCCCACCCATTAAGGGCCTAATTGCCGGCCTCACCCATTTCTACTTAATCTGTGATAACATTACATGGGGAGTAATTGTGTAAGAACTTAAATGAGTGTCTCATTGGCTCGGCTAAAGCTTAAGCCACAAGCCAATGAGTAATGAGCCTAGCCGTCTAACCAATAGTAAATCTTGCGTGCGAACAAAGCAGCATCATTTGGTTTGCCATTGGCTTAATCTTGACCGTTCATTTGTGCATTGATGAGGAGGAATCTTAGCGCCCGGTGTCCGTCACCCAGTAGCCAATCTCACCCGCAAACGTGGCACAACCCCAATGATAGTGCAAGCACTCTCTTATAAGGATAAAGAGCGAGTTACACCACGGTGTTGAAAAGAATGTGACAGCCAAACTAGAAACAAAGGTGAGTTCCCTCCTCCCCCAAACCAAAACCACCGCCGCACCGCCGGCACCACCACCACCACCACCCTTTGTGCTAGTTTTGGGGCTTTAATCTTGGGTAATGTTCATTTTATGTACCAAAAAAAATTGGGTAATAAGGGAGTCGAACTTACTAAATTTTAGTATATTTAAATTTTATTGTAATCGGTTGAATTTGAACTCAAGCTACATGACTAAATTCTAACTTACTTTCTGTTCAATGCAATTTTGATTATAAACTCAGAGCTCAACATCCNTTTAAATTCATTCGTGTTCATAATCAATGACAATTCCATTTTGTCATTATTATTATTATTTTTTTTCCATTTTAAACACACAAAAAAAGTCAACAAAACACCACCAAAACCAACCCAAAAAAAACAAAAGCATTACAGAAAGAATGCTATTGTGCCCTGGATGTCACCTTGTACCATAATTTATGCAAACCCCTTAACCACTATAGCTTAAGTAAGTATATAAGATAATTTAATTTCCAACATCAACAACATTGCCATTAAAGCCAGAAAATAAAATATAGATTCTCTCTCTCTCTCTCTCTCTCTCTCTCTCACACACACACACACACACGCACAAAAGTTTTTCACTTTATTTACTGAAAGCTCGAACCTGGTGTGTAAATAGCAAGATCAGGCCACCCATTGCCACCATTCCAACAGCTAGAGTCACCACCACCACTTTGAACATTCAAAAATGTGTCTGAATTGTTGCCACTCTGCAACTCCACTGGTGGGTCAACATTCCGGACCACATTCAACCCAGAACCCGAATTCACATTCTCTGCAAACTCACCCAATTGCACAGTCGACCCATTTGGATTCAAACCCTCCATTAAAAAATTCCCAAACTGCCCATTTGAAGCCAAAAGTGAGCTGAAACTCCCACCCATACCAAGCATCCTACGGTCACGATCAATTGATGAAACAGAGAGACCATAGGGCTCTGGTTTTGGAAGTTCTTGAGAGGTCAAAGATGGTGTAGATGAGGTTGAAGATGAAGAGGAAGTTGCTGAAGAGCGTTTTGGGTTTGAAGAGCGTTTTGTGTTCTTGCGACTACCACCGCCGACTGGGATGTTCCGAAGTGCACCACCTTTGGTCCAGTACCTTTTACAGTTCTTGCAGAAGTGGCGAGGCTGAGAGAGGTTGTAGTTGTTGTAGTAGCAGAATTTTGTGTTTGTTGATTCACATCTCGGACATTTTAGGTGCTCTTGTTCTGGGAATTGAGGTTTGATCTGGGAATACGTTGTTGGGTCTTGCATATTTCACACCAAATTGATTCAAACGTCCAAGGGAAAAACCAAGTTGATTCAAACTTCTAAGGGGACAACAGAAGAAAAATTGGGTTGAAGTATGATGTTTTGGGTGTTTTAGTGATGTGCGTTGTTGTTAGAATGGGGAGCTTTTGAGAGATTTGAGGAGAGATGTATCGGGAATGTGAAGATCTGAGCTGGGTTTTTTGGGATTTGATGAGGATATTAACCTTTGAAACTGTGAAGCGGCGATAAAGCAACAAAACAAGCAAGAAAGAAGACAAAAAGGTCAAGACATTTTTTAACACCAGAAATGGAATTGAACACACAAATTAAAGAAAATCGAAGCTTCAACCCAAAAGATATCTAAATTTCAAACATTTAAACTTGAATTTTCATGAAAGGAGTGGATAGATAGCTCAAACTTCTGGTGGGTTTTTGTCACCATGGATGAGAATCCAAGAAACAGATGGAGATAGAAACAGAGAGAGCGAGAGAGGGAGGTAGAGAAGAGAAGAGAAGAGATGTTTGGTTTTGAACTCCTCTTACAGATGATCTCAGTCAGTCCGCGTTAAATTGACGGCCACATTTCATATGTAGAGAGCTAAGATCTCTCTATATATATCTCTATAAAAGGAGAGAGAGTGTGTGAGCGCAGTCTCTCTCAAGTTGGAATTTTTGATTGGCTGAACAAAGCTTGGTACAGTGAGTCTGGACAGTTCTTCTACGACTTCCACTAAACCTATAGTTAATCAAAAAGTATTCTGTTTTAACTTCCACTAAACCTTAATATTTAATTGAAAAGTGCTCTGCTTTTACTTTAAAATAATACTAAGAAATACCAATGAATTCTTTCTTGTTCTTTCTCGGTTGCTCTACGAAGCATTGTAATAAACATTATTCAAGTCAAACAAACAATCAGAACAATGTCAACTGCTGTCATCAAATCTTCTCATTATCCTGAAACATGTGATGATTAATGTTGGGTGAAAAATACCTCTCATAAAATCAAATTAACTCCTCAAACTTATTTAATAAATGATAAAATGTCTTTACATGCAAATCTTGATAATTTTTTAAAATTAAGTCATTAAAAATATTATAGTCTCAGCGTAGATGGTCTGTCTTTGATCGAATTAAAGAAAAAATTAGTCGACATATGCATAGGTTAGTTTAAACACTCTTGACCATTAAACTGAAAAAAAAATAATTAAACTATTAAATTATATTTTGGGTTTAACATGCCTCCCACAACTATTCATTTTCTCCATTCAATCCTTAAACTATGTCAAGTGTAATAGCACATCAAACACCCATGTGGATATTAGAGTTTTGAGATTTTCTATTTGTCCCTTAAATTTGTGTCAAAAAAGATACAAATTCTAGTTTTTTTTTATTTGTTCTATCAAAAAATTGGACAATATGGAGTTTATTTTCGTGTTGTATACATTTTAAAAACTAAATTGACATAATTTATTAATCTAAAAGATCAACTGACATGATTCAACAAAATTATTATAACTGCAATTTTTGAACTTCGTCATTGAGAGAATATCACTTTATACATCATTAAATTAGTAAATTAAATTAAAATTTTGAGTTTAATAAATATTATCATCTTAAAATTGAGAATACCATGATTTATGATTTTTAATATTCACTCTTTATAAAGTAGGCCAATAATGAATTGAGTCAATTTTAATATTTACGTATCAGATATGAGATTACTCATTAGACTCATAATATTTTGTATTAAAATTGAATTGATATGTCATTATTAACAAATAAAACATATGATTGTATAAATTTTAATACAATACAGGTTAAAATAAGACCTATTGTCGATAGCCATGCAACTGATCGGGTTTGAATTGGATTTTGACTAATCCAAATTCGATCCTATAGTTTGACGAATTTTATTTTCGNGAAAAAGTGTACATAATAATATAATTTCATTTATATCATACTATATATCATATGCACTAACATCTTGTCAGTTTCCTATCTTTAGAAACAGAAATGTTCTCTATATATTTGTCNTGTTTTAAAGATTTAATTGCGGAATTGAACAATGAAACCTAAGTAATCATTTTCTTAATAAGGATATCTTAAAAACAAGGATACTTTAAAATATGTTTTTTTTTTTTTTGACTAGGTGAAAAAGGTGACTTAGGGAAACTAGATCTAACAACCCTCGTGACGTAACCTTGAGACTTTCACCCATTATAAAATATTTAATTTGAATCAAAGTTACTAACATGAGGTGATCGAATCTGTCATTATAATACCACCGAAAACAAATTAAAAATTAAGCCCTTTCAACGGTATTTAATTCATAAAAATTATTACTCATGCGAGTTCAAAATCATTGTCACTAGAAAAAAGCGGAATTTTTAATCATTACTAAAATCTAATTAACTTACCACCTCAATTTTTTTAAAATTTGTGTACTCAACCATAAAACTAGACCCTATAGGCTACAAGTTGAGAAGGGAAAGTAACAAAATTGAATGCAACTTAACTATTTAGGAGTAGAATTGGGTCGTTCATATTTTGAACATGAATTGCTTATTAAATCAAATTATAATTATTTATAAATAAAATTTAGTCAAGCTAAAATGAACTTAGTCAAATTGAGTCGGATATTACTTAAATTTGACGAATTTATTAAACAAACTTATAAGTTTAATTCAATTTAATACGTTGTATAATTTAAAAGAGTTTGAACTGAATTATAATCAAGTCAAGCCAATAAGTGGAGCCCAAATTATCGGGTTTAGGTCTCCCAACGGATTAGATTTAGATCAAATTTTGACCGATTCGAATTCGAATAANAAGAGTTTGAACTGAATTATAATCAAGTCAAGCCAATAAGTGGAGCCCAAATTATCGAGTTTAGGTCTCTCAACGGATTAGATTTAGATCAAATTTTGACCGATTCGAATTCGAATACGATTTTAAAAGATAGATCCCATAATTTGACAAATTTTATTTTTGTGATTAATATCTGAATCAATTAATAATTTAGAATCCGATCCAAAATTTGAATAATTTAATTCACTAAATTTTAACAAATTATACTAAAATTGTAACTATTTTTTAAAATAATCACTTAATTTTTTAATATTTATATAAAAATATATAAATAATTCGGATCGAATTGAATTAAATCAGATATAAATTTATTCAAATTCAAATTCATGAAATATAATATATCAAATTCATATTAATCCATATTTATTGACAAAACAAATTAAGTTCTTTCAATAGTTTTACTCAAGTCATTAAGTTGACGGTGGAGATTTGAAGGAGAATAAGAAGTGGGAGTGGAAATTATGTAGCATCATGATGGAGGGGTGTCAGGTGTGGAAATTATGCAGTGTTACATGTCTTCAGGTGCGAATTTAGGGTCCCACTTTTGGGAGAAGGGGAAGAGGGGTGGGGGGGACACCACTCTCACCATGCAAATTGCGTCATACCAGGTGGTAAATACTGAGTGGGGTGACTTTTACTTGATGACAAGAGCGACCGGACATAGCATGTCCTGTCCTGTCGTGTCAAACCCGCGTGCACTTGCCCCTATTCCGCCTCCCACTCCCAGATTCATCGCCCACGCTTTGATAATTTCCTCTTGTGTTTTGCGTGTCAAATTTGAATTTAAATAACTTTCAGGTTTATTGAAAAATTAAGTTTTAAAAATTCAATTCGTATATAAAAATAATTAAATTATTCAAACTCAACTCAAATTTAACTCGTCTTTAATCGAGAGGAGCTTAAATAATTTATTAAACTCGTTTAAAAACAGAACTCGACAGACTTAACTTAAACTTACACTCAATCATCAACCCTATGAGAAATAAGAGAGAAAGAGAGCACCGGTTGTGCGTTAACTGAAGCTGAAGGGTTCATGGGATTGTCACACAATTTGGGTATATATCTAATTAATACGTTTTATTTTAATTTTGTCTAATAATATATCAATTACTGCTATATGAGCATGGCATATATAATTATAAAAACCCTCTGTCACACGGTTTAGTATTCCTTCCAATCAATGAAATTATATTAACGAAACTCCCTTGGCTAATAATAAAAAATATACCATCTCATTTGGAAGACAGAGACAATTGATAAACGTAGCACTGCTTGGACTCTTTTGTCTTAAAACTGACCATATATGTACTCAATGTAGACACATCTACCTAAATGGCCCAGCAGGCTCTTAAATGTACAACAGTGATTTGGTGTAGCCAGAACCATCAGTAAGTTTCGGATAGGAATGTTACAAGAGAGAGACCCCTTGATTTTGACCTAGCAAGAATGATGAAGTGCATTCCAAATTTACGTTGTAATCACAAATAAAAACAATATAGGGCAACCCGTAGGCACATCATCGGGCCAACAAATGAATAGATAGATATATTCAGAAAAACAAACCAAGGTACCTCAATTGATAACAAAAACGAACTGCAAGCTCAGACGTCCTGATTTCAAATCTTAACAAATTCTTGAGGCCAAATCATGAGAAATTAATCCCCATGAATCCCCTAGTCCCAGTGTAAATGACCTACCTTTAACTGGATTGGGAAGAGGATTAATCAAAAGTACGCGTAAGNGAGGCCAAATCATGAGAAATTAATCCCCATGAATCCCCTAGTCCCAGTGTAAATGACTTACCTTTAACTGGATTGGGAAGAGGATTAATCAAAAGTACGCGTAAACTAATCTAGACACCCCTGACCGTTGAATCAAAAAAAGAAGAGATATTCAAAGACAAATAGCTTCAAAAAAGAAGCAATTCAAACAGAAATTCAGTTAGCTTCTCCTATTATAAGTGCTGCAAGTTGGAAATAACAGCTTCAATTCACAAATGTGCATACCAATAAGTACAAAATAATATATAAGGCATAGCTCTTACAACTTCTTTCACAAATAAAAAATACTTAGTTAATAATCTAAAGACAAAACAAAGACTAAAATCATCCTAAAAAAAAATTGGTCGTATCCACGAAAAATTAATAAGCTTCATGCCCTGCAAAGCAAGTTAGCAGCAGCTCCTTTCCCAAGCAAGATTCTATGTAAAAACTACATTTTACCTTAAAAACTAGTGGTAATATTGACATCCTTTCGTTTTCGTTTTGGTTGTAGGAGAGCTACAATCACATTTTGATCCTGACTTCAACTCCACATGATAAGAACAGAACTGCAGCTTACCATCAAGAAAGGTAAAAAAAAAAACTAAAAGGAATAGAGTGCGAAGCAGAAATTAGGAAGTAAAGCAAGCTGCCTGCCCATGAACAAAGACAAGTTGCTTTGTCGTGGGTTCTAGGGACAGGTGCCTTTGGACCTCAACATTAGAAGCACTAGCTACAACTTCAGAGGCACTTGAATTGGAGAGACATTGAAGCCTCTGGTCGCTTTGGGAAGAAGCCGCTTCCAACAAAAAACAAAAAATGTCACCCAAGTGACCCTATATTTCTTCCTGGACTGACCTTTTATGCATAATACATGTACAAGCTGTTTGCAGCAGCACAGGCGATTGAGTTTTCACTTGGATGCCATGCTAGGTGGAGCAACTTTGTTGCGAAATCAAATGAATTTCCATTTGCATCAACCCCCTGGCTTTCGGATCCTGAAATGTATATCACAAAGTACAAAAATTATATTCAGGTGAAACACATACTTCTACAAATGGTAAATGAGAAATGAAGAGACACTGACCTCTTCTGACAACACGTGTTATACTGCTGCTTAGGGATCTGGAAGGCCTTGAAGGGGTCGGGACTTGCCTCCTAAAAAAGGCAAAACATACAATTTATGATATTTAGTATTGTGACATGAATGAACATTGGTCTCATACAGGTTAAATGCAGTTTTACACAGATACCTCATGGGATTTTTGCTTGCTTCCAGAGAAGTTGCTTCAGTACTACCCGAAGCACAGCCAAACACACGGAATAGGTTGCTGAAATTAAGTTAATAAAAATACAAGACCCAACATGAGGCAAACAACATCAATGACAAATTGAAAATAAAAATACGGCAATGATAAAATAGAGTGAAAGAACAAAAATTTGTACACGAACCTGTAAGATCCGGTTGCTACTCGCAAACCATCACCACTCAAGCAACACTCAAATTTATCAAAGATGGAATCATTTTCATATAAATCACATAGCTGGACATGATTGATAGTGTACTCTCATCAGATTATNACACTCAAATTTATCAAAGATGGAATCATTTTCATATAAATCACATAGCTGGACATGTTTGATAGTGTACTCTCATCAGATTATTTAATCAAAAGAATATCAGTATATGCTCAGGCAAAAAGTTAACNTTCATATAAATCACATAGCTGGACATGATTGATAGTGTACTCTCATCAGATTATTTAATCAAAAGAATATCAGTATATGCTTGGGCAAAAAGTTAACAAAAAAAAAAAATTCACCTTAGGTCTTAAATACTCATGAACCTGGAAAGTTCCAACAGGACCGGAATCCATATTTATGTCCCACAACTGAAACAAAGTAACAAATTTTGGTGACAAACCAACAGACAGTACCAGGGCTACGGTTTAAAATCTCAAGTGAGGTTTGTTCCACACTAAAATAACTTCATCAGCCAGGTTAGATAAGTACCACAAGAAACTTACACGCCACTTATGTACATCTATACAGAAAAAGTGTACATAATAATATAATTTCATTTATATCATACTATATATCATATGCACAAACATCTTGTCAGTTTCCTATCTTTAGAAACAGAAATGTTCTCTATATATTTGTCGTCAAGGCATGCCAAAAAGTGCTCAAAGTCAAACCTTAAGGGTCATGTAATCACGACTAAGTATGAATCTTCCATCCCTTCCAAATTTAATATCTGAAATTGAGGCTATTATCTCGGTGAAAAAGGATCTTGAACCAGGTGCCTCCTGTTCCTCAAACCTGTGTCAAAAAATTATTATTGTTACGTGCATATAAAAGGCATTTTGAAATCAATATAGATGTTCAATTGTAAAAACACTGTTCTTTTTCCCGATATGATTCTCTTAACAGTTAACAGTCCCAAACTAGCCAAACTAGCCAAACTTTTTCTTTCTGGTTTATTTTTGTAACGAAGCAACCCAGTAAGCACTTGCATAGTGGGAAAATAAAACGGCTAACCAGAAAATAACTTACAATTTAGAATGGGTGTCACACAAAGCTGATTGCCGCAAATCAATAAGACGAATTGATCCTTTTGAACTACTATATGCTAACGTATTACAATGGGTAGGATGAAACTCAGCTGATGTTATCACCTCTGCAACAAGAGATTGAACAAGCGTGAAAGCACAAACATTTACCAATAAGCTTAGACCAAAAAATATAACACAGTTTGGGACTCTCACAACATTGCACAGGCCAGGTCCTATTACTATTTGGTTGAATAGAAACTTAAAAGTCAAAAGGGTACAAAAAAATTTAGCTTTATTTTATGCGTACGTTAACCAAAACATGAACACTTCGTCTGGCCATTGGAATTCTAGAGTGGAAGGTGGTTGGGGCAACTTCGGCTAAAGGAAATGATTGGAAAAGAAAATTAAGTAGATCACTGATCACTTATCCTCGCCTGAAATATTTCCTATTTCCACAAAAGCCTCCTTACAATAAAAAGAAATTCATTCAGGCGCAGTTCTGGAAATGCATAAATTTATTTGAACCCGAGTATAACAATGCTACAATGAATGGTACATCAGAAACCCTCCCCAATAGTGTCACCAGACGCTGTTAAGGATCACGGACACTTTTAAGAACCTGACAGGCACTGAAACTTTCCAGACACTCTTAGAACATGTGTCTGATACTCTTTTAGCTGGGTGGGGTTCATAGCTAATATCAATATTAACAGAAAAGTGTTTAAGAATTATTTTTGTCACATGGCCAACACTCCTTAGCTTGTTTCAATGATGTTATGACTAAAAGATAAACAGTTGGCCAACACTTCCTCAATATTTGCTATGATGTGATTCACAAGTTTGGGAACTAACGTGCATAGTTTACTAAGGTGCAAGTAACAGGAATATCTTGTACCATGTATGCTTGCTACACTTGTTTTACAAGAAATTGGTGATTGATAACTACCATAATACATCAACAAATAATTAACATATATTCTTCAACAAATATACATGTGCTGCGCAAAACAACGCGGTCATGTGTAGCATGTCCTAGCATTGTTACACCGTGTATTTGTTGTGATGTTTCCGTGTCTATTCGTCACAAGGGAGTTGAATCTAGGATGACAATCTTCAAGCAACCTTTTCTTGTCACAACTAAGACAATAGTGGCCTGTGGCCCCTTAAGTCCACCAGACAAAAACTTGGTAGGCACAATTTCTAGACTTCCCCAAAAAGTCCTCTCCATGCTTTTATAACATGGACAGCAAGATGAAATCAATAAAATGGTGAATTTTATTTGTTAAAAATATGTATAATAAAAAAGAATATGCACCCATGCATATCGAAAACTAGAAAGTCAGGTAACTCATAAATAAGAATCCGTCCAATGTTTCTAACAACTGGTAAATAGAAATCTTACTAAAAAAGAAAAACAAACTCGNATATGCACCCATGCATATCGAAAACTAGAAAGTCAGGTAACTCATAAATAAGAATCCATCCAATGTTTCTAACAACTGGTAAATAGAAATCTTACTAAAAAAGAAAAACAACCTCAGGATATCCTGAATAAAATTTGCAATCCCAACCTAATTGCAAGCAAACATACCAGTTAGATCCTCCATATTTGTTGGCTTCACATCAACGATATTGAAACTTTGATTACTAATTTCCAAGTTCCACAAGTTTATTCGTAGATCATCAGCCGATATAAATGTTTCACCATCACTAGAAAATAGTAGAAAGTGACAGGCGGTCAGTAAATGCAGAAACCACATTTTATATAAGAGGTAGACTGAACATCATAGATGCAAGCACAGGATGAGAATAGCATGGTTCCATTCACACCTTCTAACATCACCGCCAATAGTTTGTAGTTTCAAGGAATTATGAATATCAATTATGTATCCCAGTCTATAACAGCTGGCTAAATGCCATGTCTTACAAATCATAAATGTACAAAACAGTCAAAGGCATCAAGAAATGACACTGAAAGTAATCCACAAAGCACAACCCGAAACAAGGCCTTTACTTACAAACTGTTGTTTAAATATTGGTTAAGGGCTTTATTGTGTATAGCCAACCCCAAAATAATTGGGATAAAGGCTTTATTGTGTTGAGTAGTTGTACTGGAAAAAAATATTACCCATTAGAAAAAACAAGCATGGCTCTGGAGTGATACGGGTCAAACTTCATACATTTAAGTATGAGATGGAAATGAAACTTTAACAAAAGCCAAATCAGTATGCTCACATGCACATAATGACTTAGTGACAGAACGGATCAGATAAAGTCATGAAACCACACAAAGGGCCCAAAGGACAAAGATAAAATTCTGCCCTCCNCACATAATGACTTAGTGACAGAACGGATCAGATAAAGTCATGAAACCACACAAAGGGACCGAAGGACAAAGATAAAATTCTGCCCTCTCACATGAATCCATATAAGGTGCATCTTTGATTCTCTCACAAATACTAGAGAGTAAGCCAATCAATCCAGCTAGCATTCATTTATAAAAGCACATATACTCTCACATGAATCCATATAAGGTGCATCTTTGATTCTCTCACAAATGCTAGAGAGTAAGCCAATCAATCCAGCTTCCAATGGGGATGTTTTATAAAAGCACATATACTATCATCATAACAATTACTAGTTGAGTGTAGCTTCCAATGGGGATGTTTTCTTGTGAGCATACTGAAGATTGAAATAAAAATAGAAAATGACATCTAACATATCCAAGGGGTTCACTGGTCCCTTTTCATCCCAGACTGTATCAGGACCAAATTTGACTTTTTAAGTTGTAATTTTTCTGAATTGGATGACTATCGGGCACTCAACAAGGTAACCTAACCATCAAGAACAAGTATCCACTTTGATTGCAGACTTCTTCGCCCTAATCAATAAGTGCGAGTTACTTCTCGAAGTTAGATCTACGTGCGCATCGCAGAAGGAGATGAGCTAAGCCCTGTCCCAATAATTTTGGGACCCCCTACATAAATCCTGTTTCGTTATTGTACTCGATTAAGGGTTATACTTTCTGTTAAACCATAAGTTTTCATAATTTTTTTAAGTAGTTCATTTAAGCTTAGTTTTGGTCTTTCTCTATTATTTCACTCACCGTCTGGTGTCAATAGCTATCACATTACTTTTTCTCACCAACATCGGAGTAAGCCGTCCATAAAATATGTCCAAAGTACATGGGTCGACCCTCTCTTAATTTATCTCCTATTTGTACAACTTCTACTTTTTCACATACAATTTTGTCCAAGGTCATTCCTAATTTTGTCCTTGAACCCAATACCTTAAGTAATTCAGAGCCAATCCAACTAACGAACCTTACTAAGACATTTACAAAAATAGTCATTAAATAGTCAAGTAGCATATGTAACAAAGGATCAAACTGGTAATGACCTTGGATTCCCGGTATGGTACAAAGAGTTGTTAAGTAAACAGGTGCTTTTGATCTTTTATAATATGTGCAAATAGCTCCGCGCTCTGGTATCCTACAGAGTGAGGGTAAAGGTTGAGGTGCTCACGACCACATCAAGTCCACACCACTTTGCCACTACCTAAGAACTGTACCTCAGCAAATTGCGCCAAATACTCGGGGTGAGCAAAAATTGTCATATACTATCACACTACAATGTCACATTCCCTCACCCTGCCTCCTAGGTCACTTTCACTTTGTCTTACCATAGGTGAACAAAGCCGACACATCCACCTTGCAGTCGAAAGTCAACTTTCAGTCATTAAAATTTTTTGATAAAAGGATAATGTTANCCCTGCCTCCTAGGTCACTTTCACTTTGTCTTACCATAGGTGAACAAAGCCGACACACCCACCTTGCAGTCGAAAGTCAACTTTCAGTCAATAAAATTTTTTGCTAAAAGGATAATGTTCTACTAATTTTTTTTACATAACTTTTTTTGTACCTTCAGCTAGGGCCTAGGGGACTTCAACATCAATAATAGAATTAGTTAGAGCAGGCTTATTCTGGTAAAAGATGGCTAAAAACCAAATATAGGAGAATAATAATAAATAAAACTTGAGCCACTGATCCAAGTTAATCTCTTTAAGAGAATGTGTTTTCTCAAATAGGCTAGTATTCCACTTTGGTATATTGAAAGAAAAAGCCATACCAAGCGGGAAAAGAACACGCAAATAGAATAGCATAGCAATTCTGACACAAACATAGAACAATGGAAAATATAATATGAACGAAAGAAAAATATTTATACTCTACCAAAAAGGTAAAGATCCACACCTGTTATTTGAAATAGAATTGATATGATAGTCATGTGCATGTGCGTATACTCTTCTACATCTTGCCACAAGGCTGGTCTCATTGCTGGTTACCTAAGGTTGAATGTTTGTGTCAAATAGAATCAAATAGAAACAGAAAAAATTTAAGATACAAAATTTTCAAACACAATAAGAAAACAAGTTTAACTTGGTGAAACTCCTTTAAAATGGCCATATCAGCTCTACCAAAGAATGAAGCAAAACTAAGAGCTAAGGTCTCCAATCACCGAACTGCAACATGCAGAATCCAAAGCCTTTATCTGTGTACCAATAACATGTCTTCCAAATATACACTCAATGTATGTCCACGGTCAAGATAAATTTAGTTTCCATAATTTCACTCAAACTGAAAAAGGGCTGAGAGAATTGGTGGCAGGTTTGTTTGTGCATCTCATGTCTCACTTGGGTGCATAGAAAAACCCAAAATAGCACAGGATTGAATACCTTGTTCATAGGCCAAGACAAAGTATCACGGGTACCTTGCTCTACCTTGTAACTGCCTNAAAAAATTTAAGATACAAAATTTTCAAACACAATAAGAAAACAAGTTTAACTTGGTGAAACTCCTTTAAAATGGCCATATCAGCTCTACCAAAGAATGAAGCAAAACTAAGAGCTAAGGTCTCCAATCACCGAACTGCAACATGCAGAATCCAAAGCCTTTATCTGTGTACCAATAACATGTCTTCCAAATATACACTCAATGTATGTCCACGGTCAAGATAAATTTAGTTTCCATAATTTCACTCAAACTGAAAAAGGGCTGAGAGAATTGGCGGCAGGTTTGTTTGTGCATCTCATGTCTCACTTGGGTACATAGAAAAACCCAAAATAGCACAGGATTGAATACCTTGTTCATAGGCCAAGACAAAGTATCACGGGCACCTTGCTCTACCTTGTAACTGCCNCCAAAATAGCACAGGATTGAATACCTTGTTCATAGGCCAAGACAAAGTATCACGGGTACCTTGCTCTACCTTGTAACTGCCTTTTTCTGTGTCTGTATGAGTGTGTCTTGCCTAATGTCTTTCTCCACCCTTTTACACAATTCCATAGTCTTTATTTATTTATATATTTATTTTTATTTTTTTTTGAAAGTTTCTGCATCTTTCATAACAAGGCCAGGTTAATTTGGGGAAAATTGAAAGAGCACAGCTCAAAGGTACTGACACACATACACAACACAAACACCTGCACACAAATGCATTATCTAGTAAACACCATAGCTGCATAGCTACAGAACAAAATATGTGACTCAAGTACAACTACCACAGGTAAATGTAGCAATGCAGTCGCCCCCAGAGGAAATGGACCATCGCTGCTCAGACAGTTGTAAGATCTATCTGGGTATCCTCCATTCGCAAGATAATGCTTAGGGCTGGAAGAAACACTTGAACTTGCAAGAGAGCCATTTCCGACAGCTTTGGAGGGGTCCATATTCATGTCAGATATTTTCTTGACTTTCTTCTCTTGGACCTGTTTAATTCGCAAACAGAGCTTATAAATCACTCAGTGTTGAAGATAAGAATCCAAGATAACACAAAACGATAACTCTATATCTACTTCAGTCTTCAAGAACTATTCAGTGTGAATAAAACAGATCAAAAAATAATAACCATCTACAATGTACTTTTCTCAACTAATGTTTGCAGCTGATAAAAGCCAGAATGAGATGAAGCGCGATCAAACTTTCCATCCAAATTCCAATAGAATATCTCTTCCCACACACATTACTCGACTGACCATCTCCGTTCAGAAAGTTGCTTTATTACATCTTGCATTTATATATTCTGAAATAGTGTTAAGTGAGACATTCTCAGCTCAACTAAAAGCATCACAACCAGCTACTTGTGGTAACACAAGGGCCAACATTCGGCACATTGCCAAATATTTGCAGGAGCATGGTGATTCCACTTCGTATGGTCGTCTACCTGCCACAAAGGTTGAAGGGTGACATTCATCTTGAGTCATTATATTAAAGTACTTCTATGGAATTCCTCGACAACTCACGTTTGATATTAATTGTGAATTGCAATGTTGAAAATTCTATTCCGATTCTCAGGTAAGACTACAAAAATGGAAAGAGGCATTGTCCCAAAGGGAACAAGAAGATAGGGACTAGTTATGATTCCTTTAGAGTCAAGTGAAGATTAGAAAAGAAGAGTACAATTCAATGGGGTCAAGTTACGACTGAAAAGACTGGGATTGATCCTGTAAGTTGGGATTGATCTCAAATACCCAGTGTGGTCACTTCCCCAGATTAGGTCGTAATCTCACCCTATTTGTAGTAATTTCGGTGAGCTGCCAAACATTAACTCTTTGGAAAATAGTCTTACCCCACAGATCTCGGCGTCACCAACTAGAGCTATGTTTTTCCAATTTCCGAGAACCACTCATGTCTGGCATATCAGCGCAAAAGAANTGTGGTCACTTCCCCAGATTAGGTCGTAATCTCACCCTATTTGTAGTAATTTCGGTGCGCTGCCAAACATTAACTCTTTGGAAAATAGTCTTACCCCACAGATCTCGGTGTCACCAACTAGAGCTATGTTTTTCCAATTTCCGAGAACCACTCATGTCTGGCATATCAGCGCAAAAGATATGAGAGGATACAGTGACACACCAACATAGGAAGTGGTCAAACATTTTTACCATCCAAGGAAAGTTTTGGAATAAAGCCGCTAAAATTGAATCTTAAACATCTTGGAGTTGTGACTAAATGGAAAAGACTGATAGATGGAAGACAATGCATTTTTTTTCTCCTAAACTGACAGTATGTGACTGATACTATAAAATAAGATTCATGCATGGTGAGTATGTTATCCCNTAGGAAGTGGTCAAACATTTTTACCATCCAAGGAAAGTTTTGGAATAAAGCCGCTAAAATTGAATCTTAAACATCTTGGAGTTGTGACTAAATGGAAAAGACTGATAGATGGAAGACAATGCATTTTTTTCTCCTAAACTGACAGTATGTGACTGATACTATAAAATAAGATTCATGCATGATGAGTATGTTATCCANGAAGACAATGCATTTTTTTCTCCTAAACTGACAGTATGTGACTGATACTATAAAATAAGATTCATGCATGGTGAGTATGTTATCCACCTAATTATCTTTGTTATAATGATTAACCGATCATAAAAAAACTACAACCGCTTGATAATAATGTTTATCACTTCCAATTTAATCCTAACTATTAGAATCTGCAGTTCTGCGGAATAAGGATGAGCCACTAGCCATTGAGATGGCACCCTTATGAAACAAATTAGATCTACTAGCGACCACATTTTTTCACAGGATATCTGACGTGCCTGAACACAGTAAGCACCATATATGCAGTTTGATAATGAACACTTACAACAAAAATACAAAAACACGGGGCACTGGTGCATGCAGGATTAATAAATTAGATGCAAGCATAAAACAAAAGAGAACAAAATTTAAATTAATGACTACAAATAGTTACCACAAATAGGAGTCCTATATGAATCGTGGAGGAGAAATCTAACATTCAGGCCTCAACTAAATAACTAACAAGTGCAATCAAATATTTCCAATGCAATAATGATATGATAATGAGGAGTACCTGACCTGCACTTATGACCATATATACATAGAACAATCAAATGAATATTTTAGGCGATGAAAATTCTCTCACCTTCCAAAACTTGATAGTTTTGTCATTAGTGGACAGAAGAAAAAGTGCACCATTAGCTGTTTGGCACCATCTAATCTTGTTGATTTTCTCCTCAATCTCCAAGCTCTTGAGATAATCAAACTGGTTGCAAAAGATGCAGATTTAGAATGGAAAAAAATATATATCAAAACTCCAGTGCAACACACAAAAAAGGAGGCTTTGTAGTTTCTAGGGAAGCTAGCTGTCTTTTGAATGCACTTGTCTCCTAGTTGTCAAATACCGGGTCAGGGTGTATAGATTCCTTTGTCAAGTTTCTTGGCCACAAGCATTAACATATTTCAGTTTTGATGCCGCCTATTCATATCATTCAATTGTAATTGTGATTCACTCCTCATAATTGGCCATTTTAGTGGACAGCTTTACATTTCACCCAAACACACAAGTTCAAACGAATACCTCAGGTTCATGGCTTTGAAACTCCGTTTTGTAACGGAACTCTGGATGCCTAATAACTGGATAATCCGTCCTCTCTAAATCCCTTCGACTTCCACCATGCTACACGTGGCATTAAGACAATAATGATGTTCAGAAAGAACAAAGAGTAAGGTAGTGCATTAGTTCCGGGATTAATAAATGAAATGTTCAATCATGCACAAACTTACCTCCTTTGCGTCAGTTCTTTCAAATAATACCACCCTGCCCCCACGGTCACCAGTAGCTAGATGGTCACCAGTTTTATCAAACTCAATTGCCGAAATGATGTCAACTTCGAAAAATTGAACAAAGATTAGGAAATCAGAATAGAGGATTGCCAAGAAACTNCCAGTAGCTAGATGGTCACCAGTTTTATCAAACTCAATTGCCGAAATGATGTCAACTGCGAAAAATTGAACGAAGATTAGGAAATCAGAATATAGGATTGCCAAGAAACCGAAAGCAGATGCTTCACAACAAGTTAAACAGAGCAAATTAGCACAAATAAGCAATTGTTTTGCAGTTGCTGTCATCAAGGCAAAGTTATCCAAACATTTATGAAATCCATTACATACGCAAGAAGGGAGATGGACAAAGAGGAAGAGAGACACCAATTACTAAATCCATAGTCGGCAAATTATTAATGAAAGTAGTGAGCATGAAAAATGTTACTCCAATAATCTATAAATATCCTATATTATCCTGCAACAAGTGATGATAGTTGTGTTTCTCAAGCATGTTTCTTTCATGCAGGGCACTTACTTCTTGATAGCAGTCACTAACAACTGCAAACCCTGAACCTCGTCCATGCAAAGCACTTACCTTTGGAAGCTTCAGGTAGAACAACAACTATGAATGTACCTCCCATACAGTACAAAACCAAAAATAGTATACACAAAAACAAAATAAAGTTCAAAACCCACTCAAAACAAGAAAAAATGAATGTGCAGTCTTTCTGTCAACAAACCAAAATGCAGTGGACTCCCACAATAGTCCTTCTTTTATTCCTTTGATAGGCATTCTACACCAGCTGACATCAGCAATTTTAGATGAACCTTGCACATAGTGAAGTTAGAGATCTAGATTTAAGGACCCCACTTGCACTCCCTCCCCAGATATCCATCCAGCGAGAAGACAGAATCACATCAATTTTTTCACAGAGCATAATGGTAGAACATGATTCATCTAATCGACTCCGAATAGTTAGGACAACACCTCCGTTGAGTTGGAAGTCAGATGACTAGTTTAGACCATGNAAGACAGAATCACATCAATTTTTTCACAGAGCATAATGGTAGAACATGATTCATCTAGTCGACTCCGAATAGTTAGGACAACACCTCCGTTGAGTTGGAAGTCAGATGACTAGTTTAGACCATGACATCACGCTCTTTTGATAACTTCCACATCTCCAAAAAATGCTGCCCAATACTTCCATATTCTAAGGCTATGCACTTTCTACCACACCATGAGAGCAATCCTCTTGCCTCTCATTTCTTTTTTATTCCAACATAAGCTGTACCATATTCACCATGGTATATCATATGTTGCATGATTTAAAAACCACACAGCATGCAGCCTAATGATGGTACTATTGTGNGGCTATGCACTTTCTACCACACCATGAGAGCAATCCTCTTGCCTCTCATTTCTTTTTTATTCCAACATAAGCTGTACCATATTCACCATGGTATATGATATGTTGCATGATTTAAAAACCACACAGCATGCAGCCTAATGATGGTACTATTGTGATACATACTACACATGTATACCTGCCCATATATGGTGATATTTACTGAAATATATGCATGCAGTCAAGAGATATTGTCCCTAATAAGTTACAGAAGCGAGCACACACCACAAAATAACCAATTTTTGCTGGCAATTTCACTGAGCAAAACGCATTGGCCGCAACAAGTCCCAACTCGATCAAACATAACATAGGTAAATATAAAAATTGAAACTATAACGTATGCTATTACATATTTAAACTCAAGACAAAAAATTTCTACCTCAAAATAAGTGAATCCAATTAAAACAACATTAAAATATTGCAAGTTCAGCTGCTTATTATTTATCTTCTAACGAACTGTCTCTCTTACAGGCATCAATCTTTATGCACTTCATTTGATCAATACCACACCGTATTTAATCTATTTACCTGATTACCACTCAACTATTAATTCAATAGATTAACATACTAATGACATTCAAAGCAAAAAGCCAGAGCTTGCACAGATAATCATTTGAGGTGGGTGGGGGAGGGAATCACTCATCCATCGTAGGCTAACCCATTATGTTTAACAGTTTGGGTCCACTCAAAGCAACTGGTATGATGCTAACCAGGAGTGTACCTCCAACAAAGGGTGATTGCATAAAACCAAGAGGGAAAAAACAAAACACAAAATAATTTACTAGAGATTGAAAATTAAACCATCTAAGAAATATGCATAAGCACGTTCGCACCGTCACTGTCAACAATGACAATGCAGTTACTCACCACAAGTGTTTGGACTCATACTTCTTTTTCCCTCTTCTTTCATCAACGATCGTACTCATGTTTATCTATCAACAATTGCAGTGACAATTTCTGAAACTTGAAATCTAACATTGCGGACCCCAAAGCATGTTTTTCTCACATTAAAAATCAGAAGTTTTTTCAATAGATCACTTCACAAATCTACACCATGACCATAATACCATGAAACACATGTAGGTACTCCCTCTAAAACAATATCATCCAAACAATCTTTCTTATCAATTGTTCTTAATCACAGACGTTTCACTTTCTCCGGCACCATGAAACCATCGGTTCAGCTCTCCTCCATTTTCATCATTCCATTACCCTCCCCATATTCTGTGAGCAGTGGAGAAATGACCAGCAAGCATCCATTACCAGTGATGTCATTCAATGTTTTAATTTCTATTTTCCATTTCATAAACAATAAGAATTGTAAAATCAGGAAAATGTATCCCTTTTGAATAGAACCAGATATTAGACCTGAAACAAATTTTCTTATAGATAGTAAGCACATTTAAACATGTGAAAGCAGTTAAGGCATATGTGAACACAACAAATTATGGAAGCTGTCACGAAACAATAAAGAATCAAAATTANCCTGAAACAAATTTTCTTATAGATAGTAAGCACATTTAAACATGTGAAAGCAGTTAAAGGCATATGTGAACACAACAAATTATGGAAGCTGTCACGAAACAATAAAGAATCAAAATTATTGCTTGCACCTGGGCCCACTAATTTATTTGTTGGTGGATAGCATTAGAACAATGCTAACACACATTGGATTGTAATTATAGAGATCCAGACTGAAGTACAAAGTTTCACATACTCGCAGCTTAATAAAACTAATATCAACATCAAAAAAAGTGGATACACAAAATAACACTTACTCGGCAAGTACAGTTGCATATTGTATATCTCTCAATCCATTAACTACAATACTCCGTCTTAGAAGCATCGATATACATGCAGGCCACACTAACAATTCCAAAACTTAAATCGGATTAATTTATCTAAAAACCAATAAATCAACGACAAACTATTCCAGAACAGATCAAAAACACAAAATCAAACCCTACTCAAAAGACACACACAAAACGAAATCTTGGATCCAGAGATAATAGTTATGGTACCTTCCTGAACTTCTTCACCGGCTGTGCGTTCGCCGAAGACCTGAGAGAATTTCCACTCGAGCGGCAGTGGTGGGCCAGCCGGAGCTGCCGCTTCCTCTCCCTCACCACCGTTCATTTTTTATCAAATCAACCGCAACAAAACAACACAACCGACTGCCACACAAATCAAAATCAAATTTGAAGCCACAGCATTAAGCGATCGTCGTTAAGGTTTAATCAGAAGATCGCAGCTACGGAATCCCCAATAGATTAATCAAAAAATGTCGGATTTTTCAGATTCAACCATTCCAAGTGTGGATTTTTTCAGATTGAGATTTTCTCTCTCTTTCTTTCCTAGTGAGGATGAGAAAAATGGGAACTGGAGTAGCAAACCGCTCGTTGTCTTCGGAGAACCATAACACAACTCTCTCTCTCTCTCTCTCTCTCTCTCTCTCTGGTCTAAGCTCTATCAATAATACATTCTCTCTCTTCACCCTATTTTGTATTTTTTTCACAGTTCTGATAAATTTACCGGACCCCATGTGTTAATTAACTCAATTACGTCATTTGATTGGCTAGACTCTCAGTCAATATTGTAATTTACTGGTGGGTGATCTGGTTTACTAGGACGCTATTAGGGTTACGGCAATTCATTAAGAAATGTGGTAAATGTTCACAGTAAATATTTATCAGGTCCTCGTCATCCTCCGCCTTTACTTTTTATATATATTTTACTTATTTTTCGTGCCTAAAAATACGAGATAATAAAAAAATATAGTTAATATATTTATATTCATATTTAAAATTAAATCACAAATATAAAAAAGAGATAAAAAAATGAGCAATAGTGTCGGTGGTGAATCATAGTGATGATGGTGGGAGACAGTAGTAGTGGTGGTGAATCATAGTGGTAATGGTGAGAGACAGTAATGATTATGCTGGGTATTGAATGACAGTGATAGGAGTGACAGATGTGGGTGACAATGGTGGTGATGGTGGTGAACGACGATGATGATGGTTGGCAGTGGTGGTAGTGGGATGATGACAATAGTGGTGGGGTGGTGATGACGGTGGTGGTGGGTGACGATGAGTGTTTTCTAGGCTACAGTGTGATAGGTGGTGACGAATGAGAGCGATGGTAAATGTGGTGAGGATAGGTGACAATGAGTGGCAGTAGTGATGNTGATGGTGGTGAACGACGATGATGATGGTTGGCAGTGGTGGTAGTGGGATGATGACAATAGTGGTGGGGTGGTGATGACGGTGGTGGTGGGTGACGATGAGTGTTCTCTAGGCTACAGTGTGATAGGTGGTGACGAATGACAGCGATGGTAAGTGTGGTGAGGATAGGTGACAATGAGTGGCAGTAGTGATGGGGCGATGACAAGTGATGGTGGTAGGTGTGGTGGGGATAGGTGACAGTGACTAGTGGCGATAATGGGCGACGATGGGTGCTGACAATGGTAGTGGAATGATGGTGATAATAATAATAAATATAAGAATAAGATGATGATGGTGGTGGGCGGTGGCCATAGACGATGATAGTAGCAATCGGTGGTGAGTGGTGATAATGGTAACAGTGAGGGTGGAGGTGGGACAATGACGGTGGTGGGTTAGCGATGTTAGTTGTAGTTGTGATGGTCATGGGGGGTGGTGGTGGGGGTGATGGTGTGACAGTAAGATTATGGTAAGACGTGACAACGATGATAATGATGGTAGGATACGACAACAGTGGCGGTGAAAGTGGTGGTGGTAGTGGTAGTGATGATGATGAGGTGGTGATGATAGTGGTTACGGTGGTGGTGAGGCAATGGAAAGTGATGATGGTGGCGGAGGTGGTAGAGGTAGTGGTAGGACAGTTTCAAACACTATTTTTTTTAAAGTATTAATGAGAAATAATTCTTAAAAATACTTTTAAAAGGTTACTCCAAACATACCCTTAGGGTCCTATTTTTTTTATTAAATTTAGAGTATTAATATTTGCCGTTAGATTAACTTTAAAATAAAATTTAAGGTAATTTCAATTACGAATAATAAAAGTTATTTTATTTATCTTTTGAGATTTGAATTGTATTATATATATATATATATATTTATGTGTTGTTGACGTATTTTCGAATTAAGAATGTATAAAAATTTGATTGGACTTAAAATTTAAACATGTATAATCTTACCTATTCGAATTATCTTGATATTCTTAAATCGTGAGTGTTCAGACGATTGTAAAGAGATGTAAAATTACATCAAAGTTCTTTTTTTTATGCCTTAGAGGTCAATAACTTAACCAATTTTTAATTAGTAATATAATGAATTAGAACATACAAAGGGAAATGAAATTTAAAGTGATAGAATGACTTAAATTTTTAAATGAAAAGATAAATATACTTAACATCAAACAGAAAGAGAAATATCCGGAGTGACGAGTTACAAGGTAAAAAAAATTTGCAAGGAAATAAACTAAATAAAAGAAAGGTTGGCTCTATATAGAGTTATTGTATTTATCGTGAGATCCCCTATTTGTAGTATTTTCTTCTGTATTTGTATTTATAAGAGATAGCTCCTAACTTTTGAAATCATATTTTTTCCTAAGATATATAGACGTGTATTGAAATGTCTCTAACTACTGGCTCATGATATCATGTTTTCTTATTTTTTGAGATTTTTAGTGTCCCACTTCTTTAACCGTCTTGTTAGGCTTTGACTCTTACTAACTATTTTTCTTGACCGTCAAATTACCTCTGTGTTACCTTTAAATTTTATTATTTTGAGTGTAAAAACTATCATTAAAAAAAATTGAACAAAAAAGGCTAGCAATTAGCATGATAACCACTGTCCCACTGTTGGTCAGCCTGAAATTTTACTATTTGAGTGTAAGCACTATCATTAAAAAAATTTAACAAAAAAGTTAGAAATTGACATAATGACCACCGTCCCACTAGATCACCCTTAAATTTTACTATTTTGGGAGAAACACTATCATTAAAAAAAATTAAGAAAAAAGGCTAGTAGTTGGCATAATGACCACCGTCCTAATGTTAAATCTTAAAATCGCGAGTTCAAATTTTATCGTCTTCCTCTTACGTGACAAAAAAAATTCAAACAATCATCATCCAGTATTAATATCAATATTTATTCAGTTATTTTAAACAAATTATATGAATTATATTTTTTCATTATATATTTGGCAACTCGACCATATGGGTTTTACCATCCAAGACTAAATCTTAGGAGTATAATAAACGCTACATTATCTCATATAATGGTTTATTGTTGTATTAAAATAGAACATGTTAACGATAATATGACACCGCTAACGTAATAAGTATTTATTGATGCACGATGACAAAATCGAGCAATTTATCTTATAAATTAACTCGATTCATACAAAATTAGTAAATAGATTTAACTATAGTTTTGACATGATATTCAAAAATGGTTCCATCAATTAACTGTAATATTAATATTTATCAAATTATAATTTGAATAATAAAATTTCAAATGATACTGTGTTAGTAGATTATCGTAATATTTTTCGTTCACGTACCGACCTAATGTTGCACTTTGTATAAAATCGTCTCTTCACACGAGAGATAAGTCTACGCTCCTAAAAAAATTAGGTTTCATGGGATATTCGAACTCCGCATGTGTATCGTCATGAGAGGTTAGTCAGGTGACTAAGATACGAGGCTTATCATTTGGGTTGGCCCAATCTCTTTTCAAAACCTTTAAGACTGCGTTTTAAATTGGCCACAATGTTTTTAACTATTTTTTAAATTGTCCAAGTCAAAATGGGCCTATTATGCTCTTCCATTTGGTTTGAACTATGAATTTTAAGTTGGGATTTTTGAAAGTCGGTACACTTAATTAAATTTATTTGGTAAAAAATATATATTAAAAAATAATTTGAAAAAAAGTACACTAGTTATATACAAAGACATAAATGCCCATTTTAGGAAAAATGGTGCATTATTTATCTCATAGTTTTATAAGAGAACTTTAATATTTAATGCACATTGATTCATGTGTATTTGTTAATATATATATTTATATTTTATACGTATATATATACTTGTATATATATATATATATATATATATACATATACAAGTATATATATACGTGTCAAGTGTAACATTGAAAGTGTAAAGTGTAAAATATTATCTTATGTCTCACCTTACTTAATGGAAAGTGTAAAATGTTACATGTTAACATTGAAAGTGTAATACTTTCACACTTTCTCAATTAATTAGCATTTTTAGTGTAAGATGAAACATGTATATTCTGATTGTGTAACATTTTAGGTAATATCTCTCCTTATTTTGTATAAATAACTTGTTACATTATTATTGTTACACTGTTATTGTTACTTTCAATATTACTCTATCACACTTTACACTTTCCATTAAGAAAGGTGAGATATAAAATAATATTTTACACTTTACACTTTCAATGTTACACTTTACACTTTCAATACGTATATACATACTTGTATATATATATATATATATTTATATTAAATATATTTATATAAATATATGTACTCAAGGTGCATTAAATACTAAAGTTCTTCCATAAAACTAGGAGATATTTAATGCATTATTTTCTAAAGAAAATACACATAGATCAATGGAGGACAAAAATGTCACAAAAAAATTAGGCAAATTTAAATTGTGTACTTAGATACAAATAAGTATCAAAATTAAGGACTTAATAACCCTTTATTTTTTAGTATGTATTTTTTACCAAATAAGTCTAATTTGGTATATCCCTTACAATTTATACATTTAAGGAAAGAACCACAAAATCTGAGTCAAGTTCGTGCAAGATTTGGAAATACCAACGAGGAGAGCATACTAAGAAAAGAAATAGAAAGAAAAAGGTAAGAGGGATACTGGGCTGGGCCAACACAGGGCCGTCTGAGATCTTTCAACAAAGATGACTCATTGGCCCATGGTAGAGGTGATTTTTTTAACTATTATTTTCCACAATGCGGTAAATCTGAATCAAAACCGTTTAATTTGAATGTACGAAAGAATCTATTATAGAGAAAAATTAAAAGAAAGCATTCCAAAGTTGACACAACTCCCTAGCTAAAGTTGCAGGGAGACCAATACATAGCTAAAAATTGTTAGATTCATGGAAGACTATGGTGCATGAATGTTTCAATAAGGTTATGATTAGTGATGGTGAATTTCAAAAGCATAGCAGAAGGGAAAGCTGTAATAATAGCGCTTAGATACATCAATAATTGCAAACTTTTCTCACGTATAATTTCTTTATTTTGTGTATTAGATACGACTTTTTTTTTTTCATTTTAAGCTTACTTTTCTTCAAAGTGATCATTGCATTAGGAAATTTTCATGGTCTTGGCATACAATAATCCCCTTTAATGATTCGGATAATCAGCAAGTGAAAAAGAATTTGACAAAGAAGACCATAATTGG